AATAAGGAGCAAAAAAGGAAAATCCCAAAGGTAAGAAATGGCAGGCTTCCTGGACTGTGGGATTGGACTGGCTATTTGACAGGCTGTACCTTTTTTGCTCAAGCGATGACGGCCTTGAACCTTATTCTTCCTTGTCTCAGAGGGGAAAATGAAACTGGATTTCCTCAGGGCCTGGGGCCTGGGCTGTGGCTTGAGGTTCCTAGACTGATAAATCCAAGCATGCTTAAGGGCCTGGTCCGGGGTCATGTGAAGAGAAGGTTCCCATCTGCACCCCAACAAGCCCAGCATGGGTTATTGTTTTACTTCCTTTTAGTATATTAAAACATTTTAAAAGCCAAATAAATATTTTTATTTAAGCTATGTTGATATCTTAAAGATAGCATCATAGAACAGAGATTATGGCATATAACTTAAAAGTACCTGGAAACTGCTATTGAAAACAATCTTTTTAGAAGATGTGTATAACAAGCCAGGGAATATATATTATGCTCCAAGTCTTCCAGAATGCGTAGAAATTCCCGTATAAGAAATATTATTTTACAAAAGCTTAATTGATGGGATTTAGGGTTTGGTAAGGTAAGCATATTAAAAACAAAGAGATGCTTAATTTAAATTTCCAGACTACAGAATCGGGGCTTCCAAATATATTGCAAGAAGAGTTATAGAATTCTATAATATCAAGATTTGCAAGGGGACTTGGATATATCTAATCAAACTTCTAATTCAGTGGCAGAAGACCTTGACCAAACTCCCATCATGGAATCACCCTACAATTCTTGAATAATTTCAGTAACAAGGCACTAACTCTCAGAACCATCTATTCCAATTTTTAAAAAGTCTGATTCTTTGAAAGTTCTTGATTTTTACTGTACCAAAACTGGTTTGCTTCCCAGTAACTTGTACTCAGGTCTTGATTCAACCCATTACCATCATACAAAATAACTAATTCTTCTTTTATGTTTCAGCCCTTCAATGATCTGAAAATATTTACATTGCTACTAACTAATGATTATATGATATGGTTTTCACCATCTGCCCAGCTTCTGAGATAAGGATATTTTAGAAGTTGTCTAACTAATGTCCACCATGGTGGGAATAGCTTCTATAACTGCAGGGAGACAGTATTAACATTCTAGGCTAATCAAGATCCTGAACTCTCATTTCTGTGTAAATGGACTGCTGTTAAACAAATCTCTCCTTTCCTGGACTTTTGGAGTTGGCCTAGAAACTCTAACACGAGGCTTCACATTTATGCCTAGAACTTGGCTCAACACTTTTAGTCTCTCATTCCAAAGATTTGCTGACTAGCAATTAGGTAACAGTCCCCATCAGCTTGACTGCCTCTTGCAAGTTATGAGTAATTAGTCCTTTGCACTAAAGAAGAAAGTAATGTGGATGGGCACGGTGGTTCACGCCTGTAATCCCAGCACTTTGGGATGCCAAGGTGGGCGCATTATGAAGTCAGGAGATTGAGACCACCCTGGCTAACATGGTGAAACCCCATCTCTACTAAAAATACAAAAAAAAAATTAGCCAGTCTTGGTGGCACATGCCTGTAGTCCCAGCAACTCCGGAGGCTGAGACAAGAGAATCGCATGAACTCGGGAGGTAGAGGTTGCAGTGAGCCAAGATCACACCACTGTACTCCAGTCTGGGCGATGGAGCAAGACTACGTCTCAAAAAAAGAAAGAAAGAAATGAAAATAATGACTTCCTTGGTGCTGAGCTGTGTTCTGGATGGTTGGGGTTTCTGGATAACCCATCTCTCTCAGCAATTGGTTTCTGTCTGTTAAGATAGAGGTAAAGATGGGGTATGGAATCCTTCTCTACCTGGATTATTCTGATAAGTGAATAGCATGACTCTCTGAGTTGGGAATACTTTCAACACTACCTCATGGTTCACCCTCTGAGCTAGTACCAAAATTCCAGAGTGCACAGATGCCAGAAGAGTATTTTGCTAACACCTCTCCATCCAACTGGAAGAAAAAGAGAATATAATGATATGGTCTTCTAAAAATACTAAATTATAGGACTGATGGAACTGGAAGGGAGCTTAGGAATACCCCATTTTATAGGACAGGACACTGAGGCCCAGAAAAAAGTGATGACTTGCCAAGTGTCACATGGATAATGTACTTGCTGCTTAGTGGAGACAGATTTACCTCTTTCATAGCTGTAAAATAATAACAATAGCTAACACTTTCTGAACACCTTTTCAGCTAGGCACTGTGCTCAGTACTGTGACTTAAGTACAGATCTAATTTCTATGACTCAACATATGCATATAGGTTGTAAAAAATTTTCGCATAATAAATAGTTTACAGCTCCCCCTTCCCCTAATTCCCTACTATAAGAGGATTTGGGTACTAAATCCTAGGGGGTTAGGGATAGGCCCTGAAACCAGTTTAAACTGGATGTGTATGCAAATCATTACGACAAGCACTCAGGAGGCTGGCTTCGGCTCAGAGCAGGATATTTAAGACTGGCCTATAGTCTCACTGCCAAGCAGTTTAAGGCCAGGAAGATGCCAAACTCTACTGTACGCTGTGTAATCAAGGGCAAGTCACTTAATCTCTTTGAACCACAACCTCTATACCTGCAAAACAGAGCAAATCATCTGCCCTGACAACACACACTAGGGGGAGAGAGAGGTCTGATGAGACGACAGATGTGGAAGCAATTTGTAGACTTCAAAGGTCTATTGTTAGCATTTCTTGTTACTTTTATAACCATCTCCCAGCCTTAGACTTTTACCAGCAAACGTGCGTGAAAATACAGTGTTTAAGAGGAAACCCACAGGCAGAGATATTCCAACAAACTCACACCAAACACCTTCTGAGAAAGTCCAGGAAGCTGATGTCATAGGTTTTCAGCACCATCGTGAGGTCCTTGGAGTCTGAGTATCTTTTCTTTTCTTTTTTTTTTTTTTTTTTGAGACGAAGTTTTGCTCTTGTTACCCAGGCTGGAGTGCAATGGCACGATCTCGGCTCACCGAAACCTCCACCTCCTGGGTTCAGGCAATTCTCCTGCCTCAGTCTCCTGAGTAGCTGGGACTACAGGCACGTGCCACCGTGCCCAGCTAATTTTTTGTATTTTTAGTAGAGACGGGGTTTCACCATGTTGACCAGGATAGTCTCAATCTCTTGACCTCGTGATCCACCCGCCTCGACCTCCCAAAGTGCTGGGATTACAGGCTTGAGTTGCCGCGCCCGGCCTCTGGGTATCTTTTCTTCCCCCTGTTGTTAGTTATACTTTTAGGGAGACCTTTGGAATCTGTAGCGATACAACATTCTGTATTTAGTTCCAGGTGTAAATATTTAGTGGTCACATCACGCTGCTGCTTAGAGTGGCCTCTGTGGCTGTTTTGCTCCTAGTCTTACACACTCGCCTCATGCCACTCCCCATTAAACATACACACAAGCATACCCACAGTCTCAGTTTGAAATAACCATGTGTAGATTATCTAAGGAATACAATTAATTTAAAAAATTTGTTTTTTCCTACTATTCAGTATGTTCTGAGCTTCCTTCCACTACCTCCTCCCTCTCCAAATCAAACAGTTCAAATGGTTTAGCACTAGCCAAGGTAAAATAACACTAACAATGACAATAACAGCAGTAAAGTAATCTCAAGGGGCAACGTCCTGTGAAATTGAACAAATATCCATTTCCTTTTGAATCGTGGCCTTAGCCCTCCCACTTTATCCTACGTTGCCCATTTCATGAATGACCAAAGAAGAATCAAGCGCCCACAGTCTTATAAATAACAAAGCCCCTAAAGTCATGATCATGTAATCGTTTTCCTGTGTAAGTTTTTCTCACTCTAGCCCTCATCCATCATTCCCTCCATCCCCTTCTTACAGCCTGGGTCACCTAAGTATAATATCTTACCAGGCTTAAGACAACACCATTTTGCTGCTAATTAGGGGTTCTAACCAGGAGGTGCCAGGGGCTGAGGAGCTGTTGGGAGCCCAAACCTGGGAAAGGGGGAGTCAAGAAGTGAAGAAGGCAACAGTGTTTCCCAGACCCATCTTGTCACAAGGAGCGGTTATTAAAAATATTAAATCCTGGGTCCCATCTCATTCTTCCCATAGCATACCTTATAGAAGAGAATCATAGGAATTAGCTTTTTTAGCAAGCTCCCCAAATTATTCCTACATTTGGACAAAGTTTGGAAAACACTGATGAGGAGGCATTTTTCTCAGCAACATTCCTTTTTTTTGCAGGAAGTGAAGATATGGACTGTTGTGAACTGAACGCGAGCCCGGGAATCCGTCCAGCGAGAGGGTCCCAAACCTGGAAGAGAGTGCGCGCCGGAAAAAAAGGAGATAGAAAAGGCGAGGTCTGGAGGGCTACATGCGCTATGCTCATGCAGCAATTTTATTTTTGCAATGTCTTTCATTATATACTTTTTTGAAGTTAAAGTTGTTTATACCAGATTAACGTACTTAAGTTACAGTAAGCAAGTTACACCCAGTAAGTAAGTAAGTTAAGTGCAGTAAGTAGTCTACGCCCTGTAAGTAGGTTACTTCCAGTAAGTAGGTTACGCCCAACGGGTCAAGGTAAGTAGATTACAGTCACGCCCTGTAAGCTATGGTAAATAAGTTACAGTTACGCCCTGTAAGCTATGGTAATTAAGTTACAGTTACACCCAGTAAGTTACGGTAAGTAAGTTACCAAGAGTAAATACTTAAGTTAATATTTTACAATGAAGGTAACAAGGGTCCAAAATGAACACAATCAAGCAATAAACCATAAGGAGCCAAAAGTAGACACAATGCCTTCCAAGTCCTCATATCTGTCCGACCTACCCTCTGCGGGAAGACTGAGCTCGTTCGGAAAAAACCGGACCGCAGGCTAGAGGAAATTCCTTAAGTTCAGGCTTTATTGAGAGGAAAGAGCCTCCGGGCAGGCCAGCCGGGACGAAAAGGAAAAATGGCCGCGCCGCTCAGAGGGGCAGGGTTGTTTTATAGGGGGCGGCCGGGCTGGGGGGGGGGGAAGCCAAAAGCCGAGGTGGTGGGCAACTGTTGGTCAGTTTGAACTGCTGGGCGGGAAGCTGGGCGGCGGGAGGGCTAGGGCCGGTATGTAAAGTGAGAGATAAGGGAGCCTCTTTGTGGGGGAGGGAAAGAGAGAGAGATTTTGCGGTAGGGGCAGAGTTTTCCAAACATTCCCGACTCCTTAAAGAAAAGAAAAAGAGGGGGTCAGGGGCGTCGGTTGTCTCTCTGGCTACTTCCTGCTGACAAGGGTCGACGGGGGGTTCTGAAGAGGTTTCTTTTCCTAAGGAGCCTGGAGGTTTGGGGAGAGGTCTGTTTCTTGCACTCGTTCAGGGTAGGGTTGGAGCAGCATCTGGTGGATGGTGACTCGAGTCAGTTCTTGAAAGCGCCGCTATAGGAACTGTAGAAAGCAAGGAGCAATAAGTAAGATTAGGCAAACAGCTATTAGGGGCCCAAGCAATGGTGACAAGAGGGTATACATAGAGGAAGACCACCACGCTGTGGCTTCAGCCGAGAACTTCTGACTCTACAGGTTAGTTTTGAGTTTCTGGAGGCTCTCGATTCGGGTTTCTACTAGGCCGGATTCATTGATGTAGTAACAGCACTCTTCTTGTAGGAAGATACAGGTCCCTCCTCGTTCAGCAGTGAGCAGGTCCAGGGCTCTTCGGTTCTGCAAGGCAACTTGGGCAACTGAGGTGATCTGTCATTGGAGTGATGCTAAAGACTCAGTAGAGTCATTAATAGCCGCTTGGAGTTGTGAGGTCAGTCGGGCTATGGCCAGGTGAGAGTGGACTAGTGCCCCTCCTCCTAATCCTGCTGCAAGTGCTGAACCAGCAAGGGAGACTCCAACGGCAATGGGTAGGAAGGCAGCTCATCGGGTGCAGCGATGGGGAGTTTGCAGCATCTGGAATTCGGCTGGGGAATATATAGTGAGTCAAGGGACTAGGGTTACTGGGAGGCATAAAAGAGATGAGGAAAGGCCAATGTAGAGAGTTTTTGTTAAGGTCTTGTTACACCCGAAAAACGTTCCTCGTGGGGCTGTTATATTAGTGGTTACCCGTATAGTTCTGTTACAGCTAGGGACGTTTCGGCCTAGGGAATGTGGGGTTTGGTAGGGGATACTTGGGGTCCCATCGATTCCCATGACCAAGACCTGGGAAGGGGTGAGATGGCCAGAATAAGAAGGAAGAGCGGAGTAGGTAGCCCCCATGTCTTGTGACCCTAGGCTCGGCAAGGGTAACCGGAGTCGGAAAGCCAGGGCCCCGCTAGTCATCTAGCAGCCCTAGTAGACTGGGGAACGGAGCTCCCTCGGAGGTCGGCTCCTGGCAAGCAGGCTCCTCCCTACTGAGGGTGACCGCCGGCTGCGTAACGCCAGTGTGTCTGTTTTGAGGAACCGGCACCCTGGGGAAGCTGGGGCAGTCTGACTTCCAGTGTCCCGGGAGCCGACAGATAGGGCAAGGCTTAGTTGGTGGCCGTGGTTGTGGACAGGCTCGGGACCAGTGTCCTTCCTTTCCACATTTGAAACATGCCCCTGGAGGGGCATGGGTTTCGGCCTTGGGCTTCTGGTTCCCTGCTGGCCTTAGAGCCGCCACTAGGGCTTGGGTCTGGAGGGCAGCCTTCTGCTTCATGCGAGTTTGGCGGGCAGCCTCAGCCGCATCTTCCATGGCATTGAATACTTTAAAGGCCATTTTTACCAGGTTTTGGATGGGAGTCTCTGGCCCCTCTTCTGCTTTCTTTAGTTTCTTTCTTATGTCGGGTGCTGACTGGGAGATAAAATGGGAGGCTAATACAGTGGCCCCATTTTGGGAGGCTGGATCTAGTCGAGTGTACCGGACTAGGGCTTCTTATGTTTGAGTGAGGTATTGGAATTCTTTAATATAGGTGGACGGGTTGGCTGAGAAGGATCCTAAACGTTTCTCAATTTGGGACAGGTCTTGGAGTGAGAAAGGAACATGGACCCTGATTAAACCTTCTGCGCCTGCTACTTCTCGGAGTGGGGCCAGGATAGCTGGCTGGTGGGAGCGGGTGTGGGCCGCCACCGGAGAGGCAAGAGGAAGTGCAGCCTCTGAGGGAGGGGGCTCGGAGGGAGTAGAGGGAGAGCGAGGCATGGCCTCTGAGGTAGGAGGTGCAGAGGGAGTGGGGGAAGGGCGTGCCGTTGATGGCGAGTGGTTGCTGAGATTGGCAGGAGAGGACAGATGTTCAGGCAGATCCTCCGGTGAGGAGTAGGGAGGGGGAGAGGTAGTGGAGGAAGATTTACGGGGGGTTCGAGATAAGAGGATTTGGTAGGTGGAGCAGGAAGAACATAGGTTGGGGTGGGTACGGAGGTCCCAAAAAGCCTGGACGTAAGGAATTTCATTGTCCTTGCCCGTGCGGCGACAAAAATCGTCGAGATCTCGGAGGGTGTTGAAATCAAAAGTGCCAGTCGGGGACCAATGTGACTGGTTACTGAGTTTGTATTGGGGCCAAGCCACCTGGGACAGGAAAATAAGCTTTTTCTTTCTGAGGGTTTGGGAATATCCCAATTTGGTAAAATTTCGCAGCAAGCACCCGAGGGGGGTGCTCAGAGGTATTTTGGACTCCGAATTTCCCATGGCAGGTGCAGCTAAAGACTCTCCAGTGCGGATGGGCAGATGCAACGAAAAGGCGTCCCCGTTCGTTGCAAATTCCCCGGAGTACAATTAAGTACGGAAAGGGAAGCGGTCAGAGGGGCGTCCCCCGTCTGGCGGCTGTCCCTCGGAAGGCTCCTGGAGCCGGAATGGAAGACTACCTTGGCTCGGCCGAGACTAGGCAAGGAGTCCGTGCGGAACGCCGGAGAGGGAGCAACTGCACCGTGCCATAGGAAGAGGAGACGGGAAGCGGGGGAAGGCAAAGTAAGAAAAACTTGGCTTACCTTAATCGGAACGTGGAGGTGGCAGGGCCAGTGTTGGGTAGGTCGGGGAGGGGGGCCGTGGCCGGGCCAACGGCCTCAGCTCCCGTCCCGGGTTTCGGCACCATTTGTCCGACCTACCCTCTGCGGGAAGACTGAGCTCGTTCGGAAAAAACCGGACCGCAGGCTAGAGGAAATTCCTTAAGTTCAGGCTTTATTGAGAGGAAAGAGCCTCCGGGCAGGCCAGCCGGGACGAAAAGGAAAAATGGCCGCGCCGCTCAGAGGGGCAGGGTTGTTTTATAGGGGGCTGAAGGGCTGGGGGGTGGGGAAGCCAAAAGCCGAGGTGGTGGGCAACTGTTGGTCAGTTTGAACTGCTGGGCGGGAAGCTGGGCGGCGGGAGGGCTAGGGCCGGTATGTAAAGTGAGAGATAAGGGAGCCTCTTTGTGGGGGAGGGAAAGAGAGAGAGATTTTGCGGTAGGGGCAGAGTTTTCCAAACAATATCCATAAAGTAATATCTGTTAGTTATTTTGGATAACATATAGTTCCTCTCTCGGTTCCTACTTTCCCTCAGCTCGACTCCCCGAACCAGGGATCTGTGTCTGGGCTCAAGCTCACCGTATGGTGAGGCCCATTTCCCAGGGGGCCTCACACGGGAGCGAACCCCATAGATTCCCTCAATGGACGTTGCTGCAAAAATCCCGTCGCCATCCTAAAGCCTAGTGCTGATGGTAGAAGTAAGCAGCTCTACGAAGTGGACATGCCTACGCCTTCAGTGCCTTCCCACGAAGGTGCTCTATGCTCACTTCCTGCTAGTCCTCATCTAGATGCTATCTCATAGTTCAGTGTTACAGGCTCAAGATGTGTCTTCCCACAGTGACTCTGTTTAGTCCAAGAGCCTGAATTATTAAGTTGTGGGTAGAAAAAGTATATTTGGGATCCACAGACTAGTTCCCTTGCTCCATGTGTAAGTTATAATGGGGAGCCAGACAGAACCTCTCTGCCCACTACCAGATTGCTCGGTTAATGTGTGGGCACCATTCTGTGGCAACCAGGACACTGCCCTGCTCAGAAGCAATGTCTTCAAAGCTCCAGCCATGATTACAAGGCGATGTTTAAAAGAGTTAACAATTGGAATGAACGGCATGGGACCAACTAATCCGAATGAAGACAGCCATGGTACTGGAATAGGATCACAGAGCACCTCCGCTTGCTTGGCCTTCACCTTTGAGTTTTTTTGGATCATAGGGAGTCTAAGGAGTCCTGGGAGAGGGCCAGGGAACCTGCAGCTGTGGCAGGGCTCAGGGCTGTGGCTTTTTACCAAATGGTACAGAAATAGACAAATTATAACTCCCACATGGCTGAATCAGTTCATACTGACCAGCACGACTCAATCCCTTTTGTCCAGAGGATGTTTTGGACCTTCCTACTGATGAGGCAAGTTTTGAACAGAAGTTGTGTGATTTGCATACACATTCAGAGGCTGCTCACAGTTGAAAATCAGAGGTGGGAAGACCAGGAATGTCTGGGATTGCATAGTCAGGGAGTCCGTGAACTGACCTGACAAAGGCTGGTTAGAAATGTCACTCCAGGTAGCATGGAGTCCCTGCATGTGGAGTTCCCTTCTGCTCCTATCTAGCTTTGCTCCACTTTGCTGACCTTCAAGCTACTTTGGCTGTTTCTATCTGGGACTCTTAGCTCCCAGTGGTTCTTTAAAGGGATTTTAGGTTTGGGACTCGCTGCAACTTTTTGGTGCATGTGCCTTGAAAGCTCTGCCTCAGTTAGTACCTTGTTGACCCATCCTCCCATCTTGTATAGCACCACTTAAACAGAAAGGCAGAGGATCATAAAAATCCAGATTCTGGGAATCAGGAGGAGAGGGGCAGCCTGGGCTGTGGACAAAGTTTACTCCCTTCAATCAGACAAATGACATACATATAACTCCCAGCCACACACATCAAAGCAAAACTACTCTGATAGTCCTTGCTTAACCATTGCAATGAACCTGGCACAGTAAGGATCTGGAGGATAAGAAGAATTTTAGCAGGGGAGACAATAATGCAGCAATAGAATTTTCCACTATTCTTGAAATGAAGCTTCTGCTCTTTTATTTCCCTGCACGGTGCATAGTGTGACAGGACAAGTTACTTGGGAGAATGGGGAAAACTTGCAGGAGAGGATGCAGTTACAATATTTTGAGGCTGTAATATTTGCTGATAGCTCTTCTGAACAAGGATCTGGCCATTCTCTTTCTTCTGAACATTTTTACTGTCAAGACCCCATTCCCACTGTGGGTGCCCCAACCCATCTCCATCATGCTATATATATGGTTTCACTGCTCATTATCTTTTACTTCCGTGAAAGAAGCTCTTAATCACAGCCCACCCTTTGGCATGGCCAGGGGAAAAGAACGAAATGAGCTTTAAGGTATGGCAGGTGTCTTCGAGGCCTGCGACACTTCATTAGACACAATAAGGAAAAGGGAGTTAGACCTGAGGACTTACCAAGAACGTCTGTCTCCTGGAGGCCGTCTGAATGAAGCGGGCTGGCAGCAGACCCAGCACCTTAATAAGGACAATTCAATTGATTCACTCTTTGTGTGATCAGAGATTCAAAGACTGAGGGGCAGGGCATACTTTGGCCAGGCTTTGCCTTCTACATATAAGGATTTAACGTATTAAGTAATAACATCGGGTCAGTAGCAGAGCAAACCCAGAGCCTGGGCCTTTTAACCCCTAATCCAGAGCTGAATTCATATCCTAAGAATCAGCACTGGCCATGTTATTCTAAACAGACATCAGCACCAACTAGAGGTGGGCCACCACCTTGATAGCAGCCAGATGTCCTTGTCAGAGCACATAAACTGGTATACATGCTGCCATTTCTGAATTAAAGAGTGACATATCCCAGCATGGAGCACTGGAAAGGGAGGAGAAGAAAAGAAAATGAAAATGACCAGATGAGCGTCAGACAATTACAAGACAAAACACCTTCCTGAAAGCAAAAGTGTTCATCTTCTCCCATTGCAATTTAGAGATGCACACAGAGATAAGGAAATTACACTGTGGGTCACCTACCCTTGCTGCTCAGTTCCCAGCCATAATCCATGCACAATCCTGCTCTTCTGTTTCTCAGTCCCTTTGACACTGAGGTCAAGAGGAAGCTGAGTCAGTTCTGGGGTTGTAAGGAAGTTGAAACATAGGCCCCGTTCTCTTTGGCATTGGAAGCTGGAGTGGTCTGGGGATGCTTCATTCATTATCAACCTTAGAAGCCATCTACCTGGCTTCCCTCATTTTATAGTCCAGAGCCGGGAAATGACTAGTCAAAAAGACAGAGCCAGGGCTAGACCCCAGGTTTACTGACTCACAGGCCAGTGTTCATTCCACCATAGCTGTTTTTACCTAAATTATTTTAATATTTTATTATTAGTTTCAATCATGAAATGAAATTCTCTATGTTTAGTCATTCTCAAGGCTATATGTGTTTCTCTCTCTGTAACTTTGAGACAATCTGGAAAATAGAAATTTGGCAAAGATAGATAGATAGACACACACGTTGGTGTTTGCACACAAAAGATCTTTGTTCACTGGGAAAATCCTAAAAAGTAACATTTTAAACTTTTAAGGTTATTTTTCTATTCTGTCTAATTTAGTTCCATAACAAGGTGAAAGCATAATAGATATAATTAATAATCATATCATGAGTTTTGGTAAAGCCTTGCTATTGGGAGATAGTTTTCCCAGAAAACTGTCATTTCCCACAATGAATGACTAATGCCTGAACAATACACATATTTTGAAGTCAAATAATTTCCAGTTCTTTAACATTTTAATCAGGTTGTCAGCTGACAGGATGGGGAACATAATTGTAGGTGACAGATCACCGTTTGATTTGTACATAGAACTCAACAGGAGGCACTAAATTAGATGACCTTAACTAGAACAGGCTTCCTCTGTGGGTTCACATCTACACCACCAAGCAATTGGAATCACAGTAATCCTGAACCTGGGCATTCTAGTAAGAAGCATCATTCACCTATGGGTATAAGCAAATCCAGCTCTATTCATTTTTTGAAGAGCTGTATGCTCAATAAAATTTCACATTTTATTTTTGATAATTATCAAAATTTGCACACCAGATATATTTTAACGGTAACTTACCAGAAAAAAATTTTTTACATATGAAGCTTATGGAATCAGGAAAATTTTTAAAGCTATAAAGATTGATAAAAGTTTCTAGGCCAGGTGCAGTGGCTCACACCTGTAATCCCAGCACTTTGGGAGGCCGAGGCGGATGGATCACAAGATCAAGAGATTGAGACCATCCTGGCCAACATGGTGAAACCCTATCTCTACTAAAAATACAAAAATTAGCTGGGTATGGTGGTGCATGCCTGTAATCCCAGTTACTCAAGAGGCTGAGGCAGGAGAATCCCTTGAAACCAGGAGGCAGAGGTTGCAGTGAGCCGAGATCATGCCACTGCACTCCAGCCTGGGCGACAGAGCGAGACTCTGTCTCAAAAAAAAAGTTTCTAAACATAAGCATATATTAAATTAGAATAAAATTCCATAGAGGAAGTAGAGAAAAGAGTAAAAACAAAAAGCAAAAAAGAACAAAGTAAAATAAAGGTACAACTCTTAAGAACTTGTTCACATACTTTCAGACAGATTTTAATGGGCGTCATGTCACTCTGGTTTTGTATTCTTTTGGACATTTCCGAAAGGGTGGTGTAACACTTTTATTTTAAAATGTCACTATTTACAATATGATGGAAATGACATCCCCTGCAACTATTGAAATTTAAGATAAAAATTTTAAATGTCAACTTGACAATGTACAAGGGGGTACACAATTTCAAAACTACTTTTAGGGAACACCCAACCAAAGAAAAAAAAAAGTAGGCAGGCCACGGTCCTGGGCAAGTCTGATGCAGCCCAGTGTTTGAGATCAAAGCCCACAGTCTCCGTGCGAGCCGACCTCCAGCCAGCCCTCCCGGTACCTCCACGATGCAGGCCAGCTGCTCCACGTCATTCTCCCCAGAGAACAGGGGGAAGCCCGTGTACAACTCTGCCATGATGCAGCCCAGGCTCCACATGTCAATGGCCATGTCGTAGGGGTGGCCCAGGATCACCTCTGGGGATCGGTAGAACCGGCTTTGGATATACGCGTATACCGCGGAGGCAAAGCGAGAGCAACCTCGTGGGAAAAACTCACTCTTCAAAACACTCTCCTCCAGGACACCTTCTCGGTTAAACTGCGCCCCTGCTGGCAGGGAAAGGGAAGTCCAGCTGGCCAGCACTTCGAAGTCTCATTACACATAACAGCATCAAATCAGCACAGTAACCTAATTACAAAGGAGGTGTTACTGTCCCGAACTCCAACGTGAGTACTGTTGTAGGAAAGTGAATTTAAGTTAGCCAAGTTTATAACAAACAAAACGTAAGACAAATATAAGACTAAGTTTTCAAAACTGTCAGCTTGATTTGGGGTAGACAGCTTCTGACTCTCGTGGCTTGGCAATGGAAGAAGCGTATCAACTTGGAAAGGAAGCATGCGAAGTGTATATTCCATATAGTACGTGCACTTATTGTATAGAAAGGAAATCTCAACAGATGAAGATGAATGGACTGAAGTTGAAGAAATGGAACACGGTAGTTATTTCCACATAACTGGGATTGCTGGTTACCTGGGGAAGTGCAGGGATCCTGTAATCACCTTTTTGTTGTTTAAATTGGTTATTGTCAGAAGATAATAATTCTGTGATTTAAAACAAAATAAAGATTTAATAAAAATAATTTTTATATTTTGCCTGCTTCCCAAATGGATCTGTGGTACTTTGCAAAGCACATATGCACAGAGTATTTTAGAACATGGATTTAATGGTATTTACATAATGTTTAGTATGTGCCAGTCATGATTCCAAGTGCTTTTACAGATAAGCCCTTTCAACTTTTACATAAATTCTATGAAACAAGTAGTATTATTGCCTCCAATTGAAATGTGAGAAAACTGAGGCATACAGAGGTTAAAATGTCAAGGTTACTGAGCTATCAATGACAGAGCTGGGATTCAGGATTAGGCAGTCCAGTTCTAGTATCAATACTAGATACTGCCTCACAGTTAACGATAAAAAGGAAGTCAGAAAATATGCAAAGGAGGAAATGACTGTTAGGAACCAAGGATAAAATAATTACAAACTCAGTTCTGAGCATCTTGGCAGCCAAGATCAATGACACTGATAAGTTATGGCCTTCAACATCTGAGAAGGGCAAACATTTAAGTTCTTTGTGGAAAGCATTAGTTTTTAGCTGGAATTTCTTTTAGGATTCATACATAAAAGATATGAATGAAATTATGTCCTCAAAAATTGATCTGCCAGAGAGAGGCCCAGATAGAGGACGCAGAGGCATGCTGCTGCCATGGCAGTGTGGTCCTGGCTGCCGTGGAGGCAGGTGGCAGGGTCTCCCTTGCCTCAATGTGAAGAACTTAGAAAGAGGAGGAGAGGAGAACTCCCCTGGCCATCTCTGTGACCCCAGCCGGCACATTTTACACAGGCAGGAGGGATATGGAGGGAGAGAAGGGAAGGGTGATGGAGATATTAATGGTGGGAGAGAGGAAAATGAATGAAAATAAAGATACTGATTCAAAAGAAATTGAAGAATATGAAGATGACCTTGAAAAGAACTCAGGGCCGGGTGCGTGGATCACACCTGTAATCCCAGCACTTTGGGAGGTTGAGGCGGGTGGATCACGAGGTCAAGAGATCGAGACCATCCTGGTCAACATGGTGAAACCCCGTCTCTGCTAAAAATACAAAAAATTGGCTGGGCATGGTGGCGCATGCCTGTAATCCCAGCTACTCGGGAGGCTGAGGCAGAAGAATTGCCTGAACCCAGGAGGTGGAGGTTGCGGTGAGCCGAGATCGCGCCATTGCACTCCAGCCTGGGTAACAAGAGCGAAACTCCGTCTCAAAAAATAAATAAATAAATAAAAATGAAAGAACCAGGAGTGGATAATTTGTGAAAATGAAAAAAGTGATGCCAGTATAATTGAGATGACTTGTTTGAAAGAAGAGACTATTAATCAAGACTTAAAAGAGAATGAAACGGTAATAGAACACACCAAACAGCTTTCTGATCCTGACAAATCATTGCAGGATGAGGTCTCGCCAAGAAGAAATGTCTTCATTTCTGTAGCAAGTATCCCATATCAGATTCAAATAGTGAAAGCTCTTTCCAGGAATTCAAACTAGAAAGCCAGAAAGACTTGGAGAAGGAGAGGATGAGGAAGTAAGGAGATCCATTATTAAGAAAATCGTATACACTAACAAGCTTCTACAGAATCAAGAACCCGTGAATGATAAAAGCAAGTGAAAACTTAAGTTCAAGGACAAATTAGTTGATCTGAAAGTTCCTCCACTAGAAGACACTAATACTTATAAAAATTATTCTGAAAATGAAAAGAATATGTTTGGGAAACTGTCACAGTTATGTACTTCCAATGATTTTGGACAAGAAAATGTGCTCCTGTCACTTACTAATGGAAGCTGTGAAATAAACAAGGATAAGACAATACTGGTAGAGAGAGATGGAAAATTTGAACTTCTGAATTTACAAGACATTGAGAGTCAGGGGGTTTTGCATCCATTAATAATGCAAATAGTACAGAAAATGACCCTCAGCAGTTGTTACCAGATCTTCCAACTCCTATGTCAGTGGCATCAAGAAAGAAGATTCTGCAGCAAAGATTCATGCTGCCACACACTCATCAACAGGAGAGCCGCTGGCTTATGTTCCTCAGCCACCACTCATCTGCAAGACTTGTCCAATTTCTGCTGCAAACTCAGGTCGAAGTAAAGGGAATGGGAAATCTAATCGGGACACAGTCAGCACTATCTCACCAGTGACCTAAATATACGGACTTTCCCCTCTACAGAAAGAACTACAAAAACAACTAGAACAAAAGAGAGAAGAGCTGAAAAGAGAGTAAAAGCAACAGCAAATAGAAGAAGAGAAAGAAAAAAGAGAGAATGACATAGTATTTAAAGCATGGTTGCAAAAGAAAAGAGAGCAGGTCTTAGAAATGAGGAGAATTCAGTGAGCAGAGCAAATTGAAGACATGAACAGTGGAGTAAAAATTCTCTGAAAAATAAATTCATACAGATATGAAAGCTGAACTTATTTATGGAAGGGAATCTGGGTATCACACTAACAGCCTATGGAATAAGCAGAAAGTGGGCCAAGAACTACCCTTGCAAAAGATGCAACATGAAGATGACTTTCCAATTAGGTTCTAAGAGGCCTTGTGAAAATAAAATGATTCTATTTTGTTCAGACTTTGATGGAACAGAAAATAGGAAACAATCAATTCATTTTTTCAAGATGTAACTTTGGTATTCAAACAGGATAAAGATACACACACAAAACCCTACAGACTGGTCTCACTTAAGACTAGACATATAGAGATCTCACATAGATCTGTAGCAAATTAAAGACCACAAATTATTTAATTAAAAAAATTTTTAAAATTGAAACAAAATCCAAAGAAAAATTTTAAAATCATCATATCCTTATTTTAAAAGATATATATGTAAAGTAAAAAGTTGAAAATTCAATCCCAGACTCTTCCAGGTTCATCTCTAGTGATAACCACTTTTAACAGTGGTACCTTTTATATCTTATTATAAAAGTGGTATCCTTTTATATCTTATTATACTTATATATTTACATATCAAAAGTTTTATTATTCAGTTTTTTTCACTTACTTCATCATGGACCTCTTTCTAAGCCATTACATTTAAATCTCTCTTTTCAAATAGCTGTGCGGTGTTACAGGGTTGATTTAGTAAACCATTTTTCATTTGTAGGTATTTAGGTTGGTTCCGACGTTGTGCTAGTTAACAGTGCTGTAGTGAAGACGTTCGTTCTGTGGGAACCTCGGTAATCTGTAGGAGAGGGTCTTCAGAAGGGAACTGATAATTTTTGAAGGTTTAAAGTGAAATGTTTGGTTACAGATGCAAAAGTAACCTCCCAAAAGATAATATGAATTTGTAGTTCCTCCAACAGTGTGTGAGAGTGAATGGCTAACACTGGGTGTAATTTACTGTCTTATTTTTTCTTCAAATTAATGATATCTATGCTTGTATATGAGCATGTGCAAGAAACAGTAAGAAATAGATATAGGTCTCTACCCCTAGTATTTGGCACAGAGCTCCTAAAACCTTTTTAATTTCTTGAGTGATAGGGGTTCCATATGTATCTCTTGCTCTAATAATTGACCTTTTATTCTGACTTCTGACATGGAACTCCTAATCCCTTGGAACTTCTTAGGTGATAGGACTCTCTTTGTTCTAGTGAGATGACTCTTGGTGAGCTCCTGGACAGGGGCTGGCTGCCAGAAAGACTAAGCCATGATTAGAAGCTCGGAACTTACAGTTCTAATTCCTTTCTTCTAGGAAGGGGGAAAGGGCTAGAGATTGAGTTAATAATCTCAATGACTATGTGATGAAGCCTTCATAAAAATCCCTGAGCTGCAGGGTACAGAGAACTTCCAGGGTATGGGAAATGTGGTATTGAAAATGTGGCATGCCCCCAAGCAGGCATGGAAGCTTCACATCCCTTCCCAAATACTTTGCCTTGTGTATCTCTTCATCTGTGTCTTTTATTACATAATTTATTAATAAACTTGTAAATGTGTTTCCCTGAAAAAAAACTGATCTGCTAAATATTTGGAAACATCCATCTAGTAGTCCTTTCTTCAGCCTCAGAAAGCTTCCTCTGACAGCCTCTGCCACCTCAAAGGGTGCTCCCAAAGTCCCTCTGTTATGTATCTTGAACACAGCCTGTTTATCTCTAATCATTGTACTCATCATATTATTTTTGTCTTTCTGTCTCTTGCATTAGTTGGTAAGCAACCTGAGGATGGAGAGTGGTCATTTTTTGTTCCTGGTACCCAGAACAGTGACTGACACAGAACAGATAATGTCTCTCTAATGATACATGTTCTCTATAGCAAACCTGATAGAAGACAAAGGAACACACCATTAAATCAAGTTCAGTAAACGCTGTAAAAATGTACAGCAAAGCTACTTTTTGGATCCTAGCTAGAAAACGTATAAAACCTAGAGGATCTGGGGCAGCAAATTCCAAACTGAGAATGACTGTGGTTTCTGAAGGGCAGACTCCTAGCTGCTTCCCAGAAATTTGGGTTAGAAACACGTGGGGTGAGGCCCTGGAAACGATCATTTTTCAGAGCCCCAAGGCAATTTGGATACGCATTTAGTTAGTTTTGGGACTCACTGTTCTTGGGTAATTCCATATCTATAGAATATGAGAGCTTGAAAGCACCCGTATAGTATTTGGATACAACTTTCTCATTTTATAGATGAGGAAACTTGGGCTCAGAGAAGTGAGTACCTTGTTCAAAATCATGCTGTAGGGGTGGCGGCTGAGCCCAGGCTAGAAGCCAGGTGACCTGTGTATGAAGGGAGGGAAACTGCAATAGGAAAACTCAGATGACAGGACTGGCATGGGCCTACCTTTCTGATTTTCATAACAGCTTGATCCGAAGTCAATGACTGACAGACTTGGCCCTTTTGGTATAGCACTCTATTTTCCCAGAGAGAAGAAAAGACATACATCAAGCTACAGTAACACTGCCTAGGCCCTCTGCTTACCTAGATGCTCCCCATCCTTCAGGGTCCAGTTCAAATATGACCACCTCCATGGGCCTCCTCCCACATCCTCTCCAAAGTCCCATCATCCTCCCGCTCTGACTTTCCATTTGATTCGCAGATGGTATTTCTCATTTGGACCTCATATTCACTGCTTTGCAGAGTTTCTTTTGCATATATTGCGTCACTTTCCTTATATTGATTGTGCCACTCCTGAAGATTGTGACTTTGTTTTTATCTTCTTTGGCACCTGGTTCCAGGCCTTGCTTGCATAAGACCTTCGAAACGCCGTTGACTGATTTGTTTGACATTCCCATTAAACACCTCCCTTGACACACTGCTGTGACAGTAGGGCACCAAGAAAATGTCAAAGGCGATGATTTCACTGGAGTTTGTGATTCTTACACAGCCTAGGGAATAGAATGGGTATTTTCAGAGTGTTTCCATGCCAGGGCGGAGGTGGTACTCACGGGCTTGAGATCTCAGTGAATGATTTTCTCTACAGAAAGCACTTGCAAGCGCTTCAAAACAGAGAGAGTGAAGCACCGAACTATCGACAGACTGAAGCCTTGAAAGCTGTTATTTTTCATCAACTCATACTAGTTGATTCTGGAAAAGAGAGGGGGAAAGTGATGCGTATGGGGAAAAAAACAATAGAAGGCTGAGTTTGAAGCTGCAAACCACCTTGTATCACCTGCTTTCCCTGCAGTAGGAGGCAGGGCTTTCATGTCTTACAGAGTCAGCTTTCCCACTGAATCACTGGACCCAGGGTGAAGTTCAGCTGTGCCAGACTCTCATATGTTCTCTCATTTCTTATGTGACAAGGCCACTGAAGCACTTCGTTATGCAGTCGGGTTAAGAGGTTGGCCCAAACTTCTGAAATAGTCATACTTCCTCAGGCCCTTGATAGGGACCCAGGAAGCCCACCAGTCACTAAAAGTAGCAGCCACTCCTGCCCAGGTCTGATGGGGACTGTCTAAGGACATCAGGTTCCAGACAAGTAAGGAACAAGAGAGTGGGCAGGTGGAGGCTGAAGCCAAAGGGAGCCCCTGCTCTACTCAAAATGTGGCTGTTTGGTCCCATCTACCTGTTCCCTTGGGAAATGAAAGCTCGCTCTTGCCAGAGAATCTTACACTCTCTAGGGTGGCAGAAGCCTACTATATTATTTGAAGTTTACAGAATGTTAGAACTTATGAATGTTAGAAACTAATACAATACATTTGAAAAAGAAACATTTACTTGTGAGCTGCCAGTTGCAACCTCTGTGCAAGCTGTGAGATGGGGAGAGAAGGGAAATAGCATGACCCAAAAATGGCTCTGCATCAACCTTCTGCTGGTTCCTCCTCATCTTCCATTTCTAAGATCATCTAGCTTTGATAGTACAAGCTACTCATTCTTTTTTTTTTGAGATGGAGTTTCGCTCTTGTTACCCAGGCTGGAGTGCAATGGCGCGATCTCGGCTCACCGCAACCTCCACCTCCTGGGTTCAGGCAATTCTCCTGCCTCAGCCTCCTGCCACTCATTCTTAATATTTTTTTTTAAGACACAGGGTCTGGCCGGGCGCAGTGGCTCAAGCCTGTAATCCCAGCACTTTGGGAGGCCGAGGCGGGTGGATCATGAGATCAAGAGATCAAGACCATCCTGGTCAACATGGTGAAACCCCATCGCTACTAAAAATACAAAAAATTAGCTGGGCATGGTGGTGTGTGCCTGTAATCCCAGCTACTTGGGAGGCTGAGGCAGGAGAATTGCCTGAACCCAGGAGGCGGAGGTTGTGGTGAGCCGAGATCGCGTCATTGTACTCCAGCCTGGGTAACAAGAGCGAAACTCCGTCTAAAAAAAAAAAAAAAAAAAAAAAAAAAAAAAAAAAGAGATGGGGTCTTGCTCTGTTGTTCAGGCTGGTCTCAAACTTTTGCCCTCAAGTGACCTCCCAACTTGGCCTTTCAAAGTATTGAGATTATTGAGATTAGAAATGTGAGTCACTGTGCCCAGTCAGAAGCCATTCATTCTTTTTTTTTTTTTCTTTTTTGAGACACAGTCTTGCTCTGTTGCCCAGGCTGGAGTACAGTGGCATGATCTCAGCTCACTGCAACCTCCGCCTCCCAGGTTCAAGAGATTCTCCTGCCTTAGCCTCCCAAATAACTGGGATTACAGGCCCGTACCACCACGCCCAGCTAATTTTTGTATCTTTAGTGGAGATGGAGTTTCACCATGTTGGCCAGGCTAGTCTCAAACTCCTGACCTCAAGTGATCCACCTGCCTCGGCCTCCCAAAGTGCTGGGATTATAAGCATGAGCCACCATGCCTGGTTGCCTTTCATTTTTGAGGGCTGCAATGAAGATGTGAGACTTGGCTCTGGCCCCATCCTAACTAGTCACCTGGGTAACTCCCTCATCTCTCTGGGCTTCGGGCTTTGGCTTCCCCCTGCCCACCCCGGCCCTCTGACCTCCCAGAGCTCGTTAAGCATAATGACATCCTAACTGTGCACTGTGATTTATGGCCGAGAAAGGCAGACTGGGCTGTCCATTTGGCCACAGAGAAGATAATTTACCTCTGCATATCAGAGACTCAACCATACTTTGTAACAGCCAGACATGATGAGGAGAGTGTCACCTCAGCCGCTAATTTAAATGTAGCTGGATCCTAGAATATTAGCATCAGCAATGGTGTTATGGGAGCACTGAGCTACCAGCTTGCAGAATCCAGTACCACTCTGAGAGCTCACCCCCGATTATTCCCCTTTGCTAAATGCATTCTGGGTTTCTAGTTTTATATAAATTACATCAGATGGTCTTCCCAGAGAGAAAGAGAATCAAATTAGCATGGCCTTGCAATTATCATGCCTCGTCAGCCCCAGTATTCAGCCAGGCCATGCCGATCTATTTAAGTCAGGCTCTGCTCTCTTATCCAAAATATCTGCTCTTGTCCTTATTTACTCAAAATCGAAAGCCTTTTCCCACCCTGAGCAGCCAGCTGCCTGTTCCTTTGGGTTTCAGCCTCTGTACAATCAGGTCAGAAAGCCAATGAGTGCAGAATGCGATAGCAAACAAAGAAAAGTCCTTTTTGACTATTTCGGTTTAGCTCTTGAGGAAAGAGGGCTTGTTTTGGTTATATCACCTAGCTCAGTACCCAGCACCAGGAAGCTATGTCACGGGCATGCTGGCAGGTGACAGGCATATCAAGATGGCCCACATTCGTCCCAGCCTCCTTGCTCCTGGGCCTTCTGGATAACTGAAGTGACTGTCAGGTCCATTCTAGTTATTAAATATTCACATCCAGAAAAATCTAGTGTTCTGACCTCCAAGTTTCCCTTCTATCACTTAGGTAACTTTTCCAGAGAAAATGGGTTAGGAAGAAAAGGAGCTGACCCCAGGAGTTCAAAGGTGATGCAGAAGTGATTGTGAAAGTAGAGAGTCCCTCATGTGCACCACATTGTAGGTGTTGTCTTTGTCCTTCCGTGAGCTCCCAGGATCTTCAGCTGAGCCAGGGCCTGCTGGTGAAATCTGAGGTGATTGGGAGTGGCAGGGAGGGTGGGAAATGGAGACAGAAACATCAGTATGGGGTTACACTGCAGCAATCAGCCCCTCCCCATGACCCCAGCAAGACTGCCTAGTGGAAGGAAGCACTAAAAACGCCACATTCTCACCTCTTCTTTCCCCCCTCATGGAATCAGACAGATAGAGAAAAGGGAAAACAGAAGGGAAGATGGGAGGGAGAGGCAGAGTCAGGAAGGGCTGTCATTCTTCAGGGGCCAGAGTCATGCAGTCCCTCCTCTGTGGCCTATGCCATCCCCCAAGCCACACCTCTTCTTGTTCTTGATGATTTTCAGGGCCACCAGCTCACTGTTTTTGTTATCCAAGCACTTGGCCACCTGTCCAGAGGACCCCTTCCCAATCATCTCCAGAACCTCATAGCGGTAGGCAATGTGATCATGCAGGACCTGTGGAAGCCAGGCCAGAGGTGAGGAGCAAAGCCATGGGCTCCGGGGCCTTCTGGCACAGGACCTGGCATTCCCATCCCCAGATCGTGGCTCACTCCTGGAGGAACTTTCTGACTGCACTGGTCACTTGTGTGACTCTTGCCCTCATCTCATTGTGACTGCAAGGGGAGCTTGTTGCCTGGATTCTGGGCCACCCATGTGGTGCTAGAAAAAGTCCCACAGGCTTGATCCATGTCAAGCAGCGCAAAGAACACTGGATGGTTTTAGGAAACTTGAGATCTAGTCCCAGTATTGGGACTTACATTCATAAGTATTCACTTCCTACTGCGAGACTGCCTTGCCTTGGCTTCCCTAGCATTGTACTCTCCTGGTTTCCCTTCTGCCTTATCACGTCCTGCTTAGTCTTTGATTGGTTTGGGTTCTGCAGATGCCTCCTCCTCTACCAGATCATTAACCATTGGTATGTTCTAAAGGTTCTTCTCAAACCTCAGCCATCTTATCTCCTCCCATTACTTCAATTAACAACAATGCTGGTAACTACATTTCTGTCTCCAACCCGGACCTCTCTTCTGACCTCCAGGATCAGAAACCCTACGTACCAGTTACCTGGAAAACCGACATACATCTGAAATACACCTGAAACATGAGTCCAAAACTCAATTATCTTCCATTCTCTCAATCTTTGCTGTACTCGGAATTACCTAGAGAGAGTTAAAAAATACTGGTGCCAATGTTGCAGCCCCAGAGATTGTTTTAATTGGTCTGAAGAACAGCCTAGGCATCAGAGTTTTTAAAAGCTCCCTCAGTGGTTCTAATGTGCAACTAAGGCTAAGAATCACTGCCCTGCAGCCTAGTCCCTCTCAAATGTTTCCCATCTTACTCAACAGTACTGTCATCCACCCAATGGCTTCAGCCAGCGGGCTGGACATCTCTGACTCCTCTCTTCCTCACCGCTGACACCTCTCATTCCCTTCCAAACAGTCATGAAATTCAGACGATTTTATAAATGTTTCAGCAGAGGCAGGCACAAGTATTCCGTCTCTTATTTTCTCTCTGTCTTCAGCACAGCATGAAAATGTGAGACCTGGATGTGCTGTATTATAGCTCTGTGACTGTGAGAAACAAAGCCACACAAAGAGAAAGTCAAAGCTGGGAGTCAGAGAAACAAGGAGCCCTAACAAACCCTGGCACAATCTGTGGCAAAGGTTCCCTACTGTTAGATTTTTAAAAATTATTTGTTTTTATTTATTTTTAATTGTTTTATTTGTCTTATTATTTATAGATACATGGGCCTATAAACTCCCCCTTTTTAAGCCGGTTTACATTGGATTTTCTGATGCTAGTAATTCCATGCTCCTCACTGATAAAGTGCCCTCTCTCCTCCACTATATGCCCCTTTGGCACAGTTTGCTACTTTGCAACATTTGGTACATCTGGAATTAAAATAATTAAAATAATTCCAGATGTACCAAATGTTGCAAAGTAGCAAACTGTGGACTAGAAACTTAATATGGGCCAGGACCAAGTCTATTCTATTTACTACTGTATCCACAGTGCTTAACACAATGTATGATACACAGTAGGTGCTTCATGAATAGTTTATCCAGTAAATTAATGTGGTGAATCAAAAACTTGGAACCATTATGAAGGAACTCTGTTGTCTTTATCAGTATGACTCAAAACAGGTTTCCATATGGCAGAATCCAAATGTTTAGGGCACTGACAGACACTGATATCCCTTCTGAGTCCCTAATAATGAAGACATTTCACTCAGGTTACAGACTGACTCCAAACTACAGTGGTCAGCCTCTAGGTATGGCATTTCTGGGAGTAAAAGGAGTGTAAGTACTATGTGAATAGGCATCTTCCCTGGCAAATATTAATCCTTGTCATTCTGAGCCTTTACATCCCCCCTTTAAGAGTGGCATAAAACCATTACAATGCAGGGGGTCAGAAAGAAAGATGGTCCTTCAACCATGGTAGATAACACAGGTATGATTCCTTTGGCAGAAATGATATGCTGCCTGCTGTGATGGTTTCTATGTAATTCAGTGATGCCTCAAAGAAACTTTAAGTATCCGAATTCCATTAGTAACATGGTCTAGCCAACTCTGAAGCCCCTTAGCACAGTTTCCTGCAAACAGAAGGCACTCAACTAAAATGTCAAAACATCACACATACACACCTAGTTCTGGATGCAGGGAATCAGAAAACCTTCTAATTCTAGATATGTCGATGATAAACGCTTCTCACTGTAATCATGTTTCAAATGGGCCAAGAAACTCTGGCTCTGTGGACCACTTCCCAAATCAGTTTGTTACTTACCTTATTTCTCAAATATTTAGAGGAACTTTTCATATCTGCATTCAAATGTGAAACATGGATGAATTTTCCAACTCCAGCTTCCTTGGACACTTGAGCAATTGCTTGAGAAATCTTCACACAAACATCCACAAAATCAAAGTATCTGGAAGAAAAAAGATAAAAGGATTGGTTAAGAACTCCAGACACAGGGTCTCAAAGCTGGTTTTCATACCAGTACTGAAATTCATAGTACTTAAACCTTTAAACAGCAATAATTTAACTTAACGCTAAAATTGGCCAGGTGTAGTGACTCACGCCTGTAGTCCCAGCACTTTGGGAGGCCACGGAGGGTGAATCACTAGTGCCCAGGAGTTCAAGACGAGCCTGGGCAACATGGTAAAACCCTGTCTCTATTTCTAAAAAAAGATTTTTAAAAAGCCACAATTTTTAAAAAAAAGTGTACAGGTCTGCACACTGTCGTTACTCTACACAATTTAAGGCCTACTCTAAGTTATAATAAATCCAGTTTACATCATATTCTGCATTATCAAGGAATCCTGACACTGAGGCCCTTTAAAGAAACCTGGCTATACTGGTTGCTGGGGCGGAGGGAAGTGTTGGGAATCGCTTGGTACCCCTGGGACTTTGTTTCCCTCAAGGGAAAAAGAAGAAACTGAAAATAGCAGTCAACCATTTCATTCAGTAACATTAACTAAATGTTTACTCTGTACAATATACTATGTTAATCACTAGGGGGGATAAAAAGTTGAATAAGACCTCCAAGTCAACAAAGAATTTATAAAATATTTGATAAGAAAGACGTATATTAAAAACAAAGTCAAACTTTTATTAACGCTAAAAAATGAGGTGTGAACAAAGTGATGTGGACTCTAGGATTAAAACATTATTTGCCAATAATCAACCCACAAAGAACTGTTCAAATTAGTCCTCATGCCGTCTCCAATCAACAATGCAGAAAAGGTATCTAGAACGCTGTCTTCACAAGAAAAAACAATGTTCGCAGGGGTGAGTGGCCTTAGACATTTGTTTCTCCTGTTGATCTGTGGGGCTGAGGTCTGGAGAGGGTGAAACATGATACAGGAGCTGGAGGGGTGAATGGCTGGGGGCTGTTCAAGGCCAGCAGGATGAGATCCAGATTGTGTCTGGAAGCATTTTAGGGGTCCTGAGGATGGAGTAAGGGATGAGGGACCACCAGAGAATCCTGAAGGAGCAAGGCAGGGAGAGAGTCATCAGGGAGAATTAAGATCGTGGAATGGTCATTTACATCCCATCCGCGTGTCAGATGCTCTCTGCACTCACTCAGGTCTCACAGTTCTGAGGTATGAATCCATAGTCACCAATACCTAGAAAGGTCCATTTTACAAAGTGGGGAACTGATGTTGCCAGAGAGGAAGAGTCTTTCCCACAGTGCGGCTGAGTGGTAGAGCCAGGTCTTGTGCTTTTGTAGCCTGTCTGCCTCCTCTTGTGTTATTCTGCTTAGTCACACGCAGTGTCAGCCGCTTCCGACTGCTAATGTTCTGGGGTGGAGAAAATAACTGAGGCATTCGCCATGTCCTTTGGATATCTGTTGGACCGGGGCTTAGGTGTGGCCGTTGTGTGAGGCTGGGCCCAGATGGAGAGCTGACTGGACGTAGACTATCCGTGTCCCTCTGGAGAGTTCTGCTTCCTGTCCCGTGGCCTTTATCCCAGTGGCAGACAGGCCAGGACATGCCAAGGAGCTGGTTCTTGAGTATCTCACTCTACTGATGCTAACACCTAATTTCCCACAACATATCCCTGCTGAGAACTAGTCAGAGGCCCCAGGAATAAGGGCTGGGCTGAAGGGTCGTCCTCCCCCTACAGCAGGGAGCAGAGGTACAGATCAGTTCACATGCCTGAAGGCCAGGACCTGAACAGGGGAGGCCCTGAAACACTGGACTGATTCACCTGGACTGAGGTCAGGGCAGCCTTGCCCTGCTCCAGTCACACTCAGGACTGCACCTGTGTGTGTGGGCACTGGAAATGAAATCCAGGTTGAGGGGCTGGGCCTGAGATTTTGTGGCTAGAAGGGCCCCACATAACTCAGGTCCAGGGAGGTGAGTGACTTGCCCAAGACTGCAAGGCTGTTAGTGGCAAAGCTAAGGACTGAGGCTCCTTCAATTCCAGATTACCTTGCTGCATTCCCAGGAGAGTGAAGAAAACTACTCCTTTCCCAGAGGAAGCAGACGTACCTATCTGGACACGGCAAGACTCGCTTAAAGATGAGGGCTGTGAAGCCAGCACAGCAGCTCACGCCTGTAATCCCTGCGCTTTGGGAGAGTGAGGCAGGTGGATCACTTGAGTCCAGATGTTCAAGACCAGCCTGGCCAACAGGGTGAAACCTCATCTCTACTAAAAATACAAAAATTAGCTGGACGTGGTGGTGCATGCCTGTATGCTACTTGGGAGGCTGAGGTAGAAGAATCACTTGAACTGGGGAGGAGGAGGTTACAGTGAGCTGAAATTATGCCACTGCCTGGGCAACAGAGCAATACTCTGTCTTAAAAAAACGGGTGGATCACGAGGTCAAGAGATCGAGACTATCCTGGTCAACAAGGTCTCTACTAAAAAAACAAAAATTAGCTGGGCATGGTGGCGCGTGCCTGTGATCCCAGCTACTCGGGAGGCTGAGGCAGGAGAACTGCCTGAACCCAGGAGGCGGAGGTTGTGGTGAGCCGAGATCGCACCATTGCACTCCAGCCTGGGTAACAACAGCGAAACTCCGTCTCAAAAAAAAAAGGAAAAGAAAAACCAAAACCAAAACCAATGAGGGCTGTGGCTGCTGAGTTCCATCATCCACAGTTCAGAACCCAGGTGGTCGTGAATAACCCACACCTGTTTTGACTCCTGGGCTTCCTGGATTCTTTCAGCACTGTGTTCCCTTGACCTGGCCATACATCCTCACCAGCCTATGTAATGAGACGCAGTAACTGCACTGGGCTAGGACACCAGTGCCTGCTTGTTGGCTCAACTTCATCTCTCTGCTTGTGGCCCCACTGGACGAAACCTCCTTCTCCTCTTCAATCGACTCGTCCATGAGAGACAGGGGAAGAGCCTCCCTTCCCTGAGAGGACCCAGAGCCTAGGTGTGTCTTTGTGTCCTTACCAACTGAAAACTCAAGATTTTTATAAAGAGAAAACCGTGATTAGACTCTCCTACACATTTGTCATCATTAAGTAAGTTCCCAAGAGGAACAGAGTGACCCATTTGGCTGGGCAAAGCAAGAGTGAACATCTTGAGAAATGTGAGCTCCTTGTACCCTTCCAGTCCTGCTCAGGTTCCAGGTTTGTTTTCTCCTCTAGCCTCCTTCCCCGGGCTCAAATTCTCAACTGCTGTGGGTGAAGGGTTTGTGGAACGCTGCTGACCAGAGTTCCTCCCCTCTGAAGTCCTGTGTAGGGTTATCTGTAGGTGTTTCCACCCACAGTGCAGGAAGGAAACTGTGGAAGGTGCAAGGGGCAGCAAGTTCTGCAGGCACCTGTGAGAGATGCCCGACACATCCCTGAAGAGCAAAGTTACAGCAGAATGTGAGGGGAGAGCCAGCGAGGCAGGTGCTCTTGTTCTCACACCCCAGCCTAGCCCAGCCAAGTGCTGATGGTCCCACTGTCCGCACCACAGAGTTGTGGGCTTGAACGCTGACGTTACATGTGAAATGAGGAAAAGTGAGAGGGTAACTCCAAAGGAGACAGGAGGGTTTAATTGAACAGGAAAAGATCAAAAGTACAGCCACCATCCCACTTGGTTTTTTTTCCATTCTCCTTTATTCCATAAACACCTAGTTACAAGTTGCACAAATCAAAAAGTAAGGGTGTAGGGAAAAGTCTTGTGATGTGTGTGGGCAGGAGGAGGGAGAGAGTTGGGAACCAGTCTGCTCCTTTCACAGCCCTGGACAGGGCTACGGCCCCTCAATGGGGGCTCTGAGGAAGAGGTGGGCAAAGATCCAGGGTAGCCGAGGGATGGAGGAGGCCCCTAAACCCAGAGCTCACCCCAAAAGACCCTTCAATGCATGGCAGGAGTAGAATGGGAAAGGTGAGGGTGTTTCATTTGAAGACGGAGTGGCAGAATGAAAAATCAAGTTAGTAGATGCAGAGGCGGACTCATCATGGTAAGGGGATTAAAGAAGGAAAGGAAAAAGGAGGGAAAGGGTGCAGTGAAAGGTTCTCCCTGAGACCCCCAGGGAGAGGTGGGGGCCGGCTTGCCTGTTAATTTACTATTAAATTGGGGATGGGATTCAGAGAGGAAAAAGTTATTTCAGGGGATGATTTCTCAGCCTCTCAGCCTGTACCTGGAGGGAGAAAGAGAGAGGAACACAAGTCAAAAGGAAGAAAAAACTTATACACAGGCCAGGAGTTGGGTTTAATCCCGATTCCAGTGAGAACATTGTTCTCTTTCCAGCCAACTAAGACTTGTACTGTCAAACGCAGCTCCTCTGGGAGCCCAGGCTGCGCCTGCCTCGTGGCAGAAGACCATCTGCAGGTGCACTCCCGCCCTCCTTACCCTGATACTTACAAGAAAGGCTGAGGGCCCAGGGCCCTCACCAGTCATAGCGGCGGGACTGTCGGGAAGGGGAGTCCTCAGGTCCTTGGATGGCCAGGCGGGGTGGTCCCTCCGCCCTTCGTCCCCCCACCCCTGAGGACTCAAGCCGTCGAAACTCCAGGGGGCGCTGCTGCCGGAATCGGGACGTCTCCCGCCGCCACTCGTCATCAAACGCTGCGGCCTCACCTGGAGAAGACAGAGTGGACATGAGGCCTGTGTGCAGCCTCACTCCTGGAGGCCGATGTGCGAGCCAGCCACAGCTTCTCTGGCCAAAGCCGTGAAGGCTGAGTGTGTGTGCATGGCGGCAATTCCATTAGCTCTTTTGGTTTCTACATGGTCCCGGGAAGCCACTGGTAGGCCTAAGGTGGCCTACTGGAGGAAGAAATCAGAATATTATTCTTCAGGTTCATAGTCCTACGTGCACACTAGGTACTTAATAACTGTGGATTTGAAAAAGATAAAGAGAGGAGAAAGAAAAAAACGGATCCAAATGGAGAAGGGTGTAACCCTATCAACACGGAACCTCAGGGACAAAGTCAGCCCCTCACAGTGAGGACACTGCCAGCACCTGACTCAGCCCCGTCTGACACAGCCCCTGAGCTGAGGAGGTTCCAAATGCAGTAAGAATATGGGCCTACAGCTGGGCATGGTGGCTCCTGCCTGTAATCCCAGGACTTTAGGAGGCCGAGGCAGGTGGATCACCTGAGGTCAGGAGTTTGAGACCAGCCTGGTCAACATGGTGAAATGCTGTCTCTACTAAAAATATAGAAATTAGCTGGGCGTGTGGTGCGTGCCTGTAATCCCAGCTACTTGGAAGGTTGAGGCAGAATTGCTTAAACCCAGGAGGAGGAGGTTGCACTGAGCTGAAATCATGCCATTGCACTGCAGCCTGGACACCTGGGCAACAAGAGTGAGACTCCATCTCAAAAAAAAAAAAGAAAAGAAAGCAAAAGAATATGGGGTTGACCCAGAGCTTTGCCCAGAAGTTTATGGGGTAGGGAAGTCTCCTACTAGGGAATGCCAGCCAGGAAGTGGGAGGGAAGGCTCACTCTCATCCAGGTTGATATAGTCCTGCCGCTCCTCCTGGTCCCCTGTGCGATGGTTTCGGGAGCGCTGGAGGATGTGAGCCCTGTCCCGGATGTGATGCCCGATGGACATCTGTTCCAGTCCACTGTCTGAATCCCGAACAGTCCTCCGTGTCTCCCGGATCTGGGATGAGGCAGAACATGGTACACTCAGCCACCCCTTCCAAAGCCCTGGCCATCTCAGGATAAACACACCACCCACAACCCAATCCGAAAAAAGCAGCCAGGGTTTCTGTGAGTGCCACTCAATCCCAAGTTCTCTGGGATAGGAGGGCTCACCCCGCCTGGTGCCGAGCGCATCTCTGATGTCTCTTGGTAAACCTTGGGGGCACCATCGCCGGTATTGGAGTAGGAGATGACAGTAGAAGATGAGAAGGTCTGGCAATTGCCTCCAGCTGTCATGTGTTCCTAAGGACAGGGTAGGTAGGGGAGGGCTGAATGAGGAGGCACTTCCCCCCTGGTGAAGGATTTCACCCTTCAGCTCCCTGTTCTAGCCTGTATCTTTCTCACAAAATGTAACAACTGAAAAAACATCAGGACTCATTTTACCCTCCCAAATTCCTCTCAGTCCAATCACAGTCAAGAAGGACCTGAAGAGACAGAGACTTAATTGTATGCTACATAAAAGTGCTGCTGCTGCTTCAGGCAGGCATGACAGCAGATACACGGTCCCCAAGGCTCTCTGCTTCAATTACTTTATCCAGTACTTTACCCTTCACTAGCATTCTGTCTCCCTCTTGCCTTAGAGGGTTCAAGGTGTTGTCAGCCATCACTGAGAGCAAGGCCAGGGAAGGGTGTGGGGCAAGGCTCACCATGTTACCAATCATGTCGTTCATCATCCCAAACATGTCCATGAAGCCACCGGACTGGAGGAAAGAGATGGAACATAGTCAGGAAAGCAAAGTCAGTGTTCAGAGCTGATCCTGTTTAGGAACCCACGAGCCACATGGCTGCACATTTCATCTTCCTTCACATCTAGCAAGTAGTCTTTCTCATTCTCCCTTAACAGAACCAGAATACTCATGTTTCTCCTCCAGTAAGCTGCTGACCCCTCCTCAGTCTCTATGACTGCTCGGATTCAATTTTCCTTTTCCTGCCTTCTGTATTCCCCCCGATCTTTAGGAAGCAAGCCAAAGTTAATGGATTCTAAACTCTAAAGAGATAAGGCAAAGACCAGATTTTGCTAGACAATTACATCTTCCTAATGAGTATGAACTTCTAGGAGTACAAGAGTTAATAACATCTTTTCTTTTTTTTTTTTGAGATGGAGTCTGGCTCTGTTGCCCAGGCTGGTGTGCAGTGGTGAAGTCTCAGCTCTCCGCAACCTCTGTCTCCTGGGTGCAAGCGATTCTCAGCCTCCAGCATAGCTGGGACTACAGGCATGCACCACCATGCCTGGCTTTTTTGGTATTTTTAGTAGAGACGAGGTTTCACCATGTTGGCCAGTCTGGTCTCAAACTCCTGACCTCAAGTTATCAGCCGTCTCAGCCTCCCAACCAGACTTAGTAACACCTTTCGCCAGGTACAGTGGCCTACACCTGTAATCCCAGCACTCACGCCTATAATCCCAGCATTCTGGGAGGCTGAGGCGGGCGGATCACTTGAGGTCAGGAGTTCAAGACCAGCCTGGCCAACATGGTGAAACCCTGTCTCTACTAAAAATACAAAAAAGGGGCATGGTGGCTCTGCCTGTAATCACAGCTACTCAGAGGGCTGAGGCACGAGAATCACTTGAACCTGGGAGGTGGAGGTTGCAGTGAGCTGAGATCATGCCACTGCACTCCACCCTGGGTGACAGGGCAAGATGCTGTCTCAAAAAAAAAAATAATAAAAATAACACCTTTAATCCACAGGGCTCCTAGCATCTAAAAGGCTCAGAGCTTTGTGAACATCATGAAAAGAAGATTCTGGGGTTACCCATGAAACTATGCCAAAGAGGCAAATTTGGGAATAATATCTAAGGGTAGAGAGTGTGTGTGAAATGGAAGGCCCAAGGGAGATGAGGACTCACCATTCCCAGCATCCCAAAGGGGGAGACAGCTCCAGTCTACAGGAACACATGAGGAACAGAAATTAGAGACTTCATCCTATCTCCTTACAATCCCAAACCAGGCCCATGGCCTCAATTTTTGTTTTCCATCCTCTCGAAAGGGAGTCATAAAGCTCTTTTTCCTGACCCTTTCCCCCACTCCTAGAGCATTTCACTTGTTCAGTTAGCTGTAGGGCAAGAAAACTAATGTGCCTTCCTAACCACCCTCCAACCTTTGGGTCTCAGGTGTGTCTCAGCACCATTACCTGCTGCATCCTGCGGCTGGCAGGCCTGGTCCCTGGCATGTTGCCATCTGTGATGCTGAGGAAGGGGCTATATCCAAAGCCACCTGACAACATACGGCTCATATGCTGACGGTGAATAGCAAAGGGGTCCCTGTGAAGTGAGCACATAGTATGGATGGCAGAAGCACCAAGCTGTCAATCCCTCCACCACCCTGCAAAAAAATACGCACAGGGCAACAGTGGCACCAATAGGCTACTTCCTGCTAGGGGGGAGCTGGGTATCCAACCAGTTCCAACCATTCCCAGCAATGGGAACCCAGATGTCTGCCTTAACTGCTCAGAGACCTGGAGTGGGAGAGCTTGAGGGGGAGGGAATACTCACATCAGGAACATGGGATCCTCAGGCTCCACATCCCTCATGAAGCGGAACATCCTGATCTCAGCTCCGGGGAGCTCCACACTGGAAAGGTGTGGAGGCTCAGGTACGTGGAGGTGGCCAGGCTTTTGCACACCCACTCAGTGTAAGGACTCTCCGCACTGGCCTTTCCCAAACCTTGTAACTGACCCTCTAAACTCCGGGGAGACCCTACTACAGGTGTTCCACACAACCCTCTAGGGAGAGAAGAGCTCTTCAAACCTCTCTCTCAATTAGGGCCATGGAAAATTTTTCCAAGCCTCTGGGTTTCTCCCTCCCCCACTCAGTCATCCTCTTCCCAAAGCTCTGGCCGGTTGCATACTCTCCCCTCCTCCCCCAACGTCACCGTTCTAGATAAGAATCCTAAGTGCCGGTCCTCCGTCCCATTAATGACCCCAGTCACCCGCCCCCTCCTTATACCCAGGCCTCCCCCAGGCAGGCCTCACTGTGCCCCCAGCGCCCGTCTGCGGCTCGCCCAGCTCCCGCCTCCCCGGCAGGCGGGCAGGAGAGGTAGGCCTGAGCCTCTCCTCTCCCGGCCCCGCATCCCCGGCTTCCAGACCCTGCAACCCCGCGGGCCCGCTCCCGTCCCTGGCTGCCCGCTCTGCCGGAGCCTCACCAGTGCCCGATTCGGGCTCAGCGGCCCATCCGGCCGGTTTCGCTTCCCGGTGCGCTGCAGGGTCAGGATCGCGGCCCGGGACGCGGGGATTGGTCCGAGCTCGAGCTCTGCGGCCTCCCGCGCCGCCTCTTCCCACAGCTGCCACCTCCGTACCACCCCTCGGCCTACGGAGCAAGAACCTCGGCCAGGCCCGGGCGGAAGTGACGTCATCGTGCAACCGCCCACCCGGGGCCGGGCCGTGGGAGCCCCGCCCACTGGCGTGGGTGGTGAGAAGCCTGTGGCCGCGTCCCAGGGGCGGCGGGGCCGGGGGCTTGGGGCCAAACTCAGGGGAGCGGAGCCTGAGTCCGGGCGGGGGTTCCCTTTGCACGAGTAAGGGGAGCTCATTAGTAACCTGGATTTGGGTTCTGTGCACTGGAAGAGGCTCCCAAAGGCTCGGGGGGAAGGAGAAGAGGAATCTATTCCTCGGGAGGGACCGAGTTGGGGGTTGAACTTGGGGGCGCAGTGCAGCACGTTCCCTCTCCTTCCTCCAGGGGAAACTGGAGGACGAGGGGCAGGCTCTCTGGGCCACCAGGCGGGGCGGATCCCTGGGGGAAGCTTTAAGCAGACTACTGGAAAAGCGTTCTACCCTGGAGGGAGGATGGGCAGCTTTCCTGCGGGTGAGGCGCTTGGGCCTGTACCCCCTTGAAGAGGAGAGTTCCTGGCAGGGCGGAGTCCCCGGAGTGACGAAGAGGAGGAGGTGAAACTCTCCAGCTCAGATCTGGTTAGGGCTTCAGAAAATCCGATGAGGCAGAGAATCCAGGTTGCGGATTGGCCGCCAGATGGCGCTCCTCGGCCAGGCTGGAACCCGAGGCCCTTGAGAACTGGCTTTGGAGAGGGACTTGGACCCTTCCCCATTACCCATCTGTGAAGGGTTGGACCGGGAAAAGGCTACAGTTCTGAAGTCTATTCGTTTAATGCCAATCTTCCCTTCCTTTTACTCTAATTCTTGCGTCCTCAAGAGCTCCCAGTCCTGCACTGACCTTTCTTGCTTGCTTTCTTAGGTCAAAGGTCTAAAGTTTTTGAGAAGAAAGGAGTGGAGAGCTCAATTAACCTGGATCACCCAGGGGAGGAGCTAAAACGGGACCCAGGAGAGCTGCCTCCAAGGCTAGAGACTGATACTTTGACATACTAAATGTCTTGCATAAATCTGGCTCTGCTGGAGAGAAGGGCCCTCCCACTTGGGGTCAAGGGATTTGGACTGTCTAGCATGGACTTTAACCAGACTCATCCAAACTCCAGCTTTCCCTGTTCTTTACTCTGGCGATTAGCCATATTAGTGCTGTGTGGAGCCTGACCCAAGGAGAAAGACTTGTTTCCAGTAATTCCCTGGGGGAGAAGGAGGGGGTCCCTGGTGACTCAGGAAAAGGTGCTAGGAACAGGGCTTCTCAGGTTTCTTTGGACTTGACCATTATTAAAGAGGAAACAACAATAATAGAGACAGGGAGCAGAGACAGATAATTAAGATCTAAGCTGGCAGGCTGTCCAGTCAAAGGAAAACAGAATACAAGTAAATTTGTTTTTCATTGCTATTTCTGGGGAAGAGACAGCAAAATATTTTATCTTCCAGATGCTCTATCTCTGGACATCCCACCATGCAACTTCCCCTTATCCTCTTCCCCAAACGAAAGCAGTTTGACATGTGAAAAGGAGTTGTTCCTAGTAAAGGTTCTGTGGCTGAAACTTAACTAAGGAGATCCTATCGACTTTTTTTTTTGGTCCTCTTCTCCTCTTAAAGCAAGTTATTTATTGTCCAGCCAATCAACAAATGTTTAAGATTGGCCACGGTGCCTCATGCCTGTAATCACAGCACTTTGGGACGCTGAGGCAGGCGGATCACGAGGTCACAAGTTCAAGACCAGCCTGACCAACAAGGTGAAACCCCGTCTCTACTAAAAATTAGCTGGGCGTGGTGGCACACACATGTAATCCCAGCTACTTAGGAGGCTGAGGCAGGAGAATTGCTTGAACCTGGGTCGCAGAGGCTGCAGTGAGGTAATCATGCCGCTGCACTCCAGCCTGAGTGACAGAGTGAGACTCTGTCTCAAAAAAAAAAATTAGCAGGCACCTGTATCCCAGCCATTTGAAAGGCTGAGGCAGGAGAATCACTTGAACCTGGGAGATGGAGGCTGCAGTGAGCCAAGATCACACCACTGCACTCCAGCCTGGGGGATAAAGTGAGACTGTCTCCAAAAAGATAAAAAATAAAAATAAAAAAAGAAAGTTTAATGAGGCTCAGCACTGTCCTAGGTACACTGTATTACGCATACATACAAAAGTATAAGACACAGTCTACCAATTTTTTTTTTTTTTTGAGACAGAGTTTCGCTCTTGTTACCCAGACTGGAGTGCAATGGCACGATCTTGGCTCACCGCGACCTCCGCCTCCTGGGTTCAAGCAATTCTCCTGCCTCAGCCTCCCGAGTAGCTGGGACTACAGGTGCACACCACCATGCCCGGCTAATTTTTGTATTTTTAGTAGAGACAGGGTTTCACCTTGTTTATCAGGATGGTCTCGATCTCTTGACCTCATGATCTACCCGCCTTGGCCTCCCAAAGTGCTGGGATTATAGGCGTGAGCCACCGCGCCCGACCAGTCTCTACCAATTTAAGGCATACAATCTTCTAGCCACCTTTTTCTTTTTTGGTTACCTGTTATTTATTTATTTTTTTTTTTTTGAGACCTCACCATTGCATACCAGCCTGGGTGCCAAGAGTGAAACTGTCTCAAAAAAAAAAAAAAAAAAAAAAAAAATCTGCCATCAGCGATGTTTACCTTTGAATGGTTTCAAATCATAGTTAGTTTCTAACTATGAAAAACAAAGCTTAAAACCTAGGTTTTGTCCCAGATTAAAAAGAAATTGTTGGCTAGGTGCGGTAGCTCACACCTGTAATCCCAGCACTTCGGGAGGTGGAGGTGGGCCAATCACTTGAGGTCAGGAGTTCCAGACCAGCCTGGCCAACATGTCGAAACCCAGTCTCTACTAAATACACACAAAACATTAGCAGGGCATGGAGGCATGTGCCTATAGTCCCAGATACTTGGGAGGCTGAGGCAGGAGAATCACTTGGACCTAGGTGGCAGAGGTTGCAGTGAGCTGAGATCTTGCCATCGCACTCTAGCCTGGGCAACAGAGCAAGACTCCGTCTCAATAAAAAAAGAAAGAAATTGTTGATCAGGCACAGTGACTCACACCTGTAATTCCAACACTTTGGGAGGCCAAGGCAGGAGGCTCGTTTGAGTCCTGAGTTGGAGACCAGCTTGGGCAACATAGTGAGACCTCATCTTTGCAGTAAAAAAATTAGCCAGATGTGATGGTGTGTGCTTATAGTCCCAGTGACTCAGGGTTGAGTGGGGAGGATTGCTGGAGCCATGATCACACCTCTGCACTCCAGCCTGGGTGAGAGCAAGGCCCTGTCTCTCAAAAAGAAAAAGAAAGAAAGAAAAACTCTTGAACAGGTGAGAATGAAAGAGGAAATGCAAGAGCTCATTGTCAGAGTTCTTGAAGACATACCATATAGACAGGTGTCTACTCCAGGAATTGAAGGGATGGAATTTTGCAAGTAACCAGAGTTTTTGTCTGTCTTCCTTCTCCCTGTCTTTCCCTCTCCTTCATTTCCTTTCCTCTCCTCTCCTTCACTGTCTTCCTGTCTCCCTTCTTCCCTCTTCTTCCCCTCTCTTTTTCTTTCTCCCTCTTTCCCTCCCTCCCTCTCTCCCTCTTTCCCTCCCTCCCTCTCTCCCGCTCATTCCCTCCCTCCCTCTTTCCCTCTCTCCCTCTCTCTTTCCCTCCCTCCCTCTTTCTTTCCCTCCCTTCCTGTCTCTCTCTTTCTTTTTCTCTCTTCCTTTCTCTTTCCTTCCTTTCTGTCCAGTGAACGGTGGTGAACAGTGTCCCATAGGTAAGATGTAGAAGGGAGAGTAGGCCCTGTCAGGGGTGAGGCTCAATATAAGACAGATAAGGATTGTTGGAAAGGAAGAGAAACAAAGTTCCTACATTCACTATTCTATCTGATGGAGCCAAAGTCAGGAAGTCCTTGAGAGGGTACAGCTGGGCCAGAAAAGGGGCTCTCTCTTCAGATGTGAGGTCATGCCTCTGGAGCAATCCCAGGGCAGTTGGAGATTACAGCACAGGGAGGGTGAAGGAGTGACAAGGGAATGAGGGGAGACTGGGTTTCCTGCCTGAGCAGCATGAACGGGTGTGGCTGAGTGTGTGTGGATGTGATGTGCATGTGTGTTGGGAGAGAGAGAGAAACGATAAAAAGCAACTCAAACGTGCCCCAGGTAGAGAGAGGGGATGCTGACTCAGAGTGAAATGAAAAGGGACTTTTTTTTAAAGTCAGCTTTTCAGCTTTTTTTTTTTTTTTTGAGATGGAGTTCGCTCTTGTAGCCCAGGCACAATCTCAGCTCACTGCAACCTCCGCCTCCCGAGTTCAAGCAATTCTCCTGCCTCAGCTTCCCAAGTAGCTGGGATTACGGACATGTGCCACTACGTCGGGCTAATTTTGTATTTTTAGTAGAGACGGGTTTCTCCATATTGGTCAGGCTGGTCTCAAACTCCCAACCTTAGGTGATCCGCCTGCCTCAGCCTCCCAAAGTGCTGGGATTACAGGTGGAAACCACCGCACCCAGCCTTCAGCTTGTTTTTTATAGCCACATTCATTCAACAAATATATACTGAATGCCTACTGTGTGTCAAGTACTGTTCATGGTTCTGGAGACACAGTGATGATAGAAAAATAAAGCAAGGTAGCTGGGCACGGTGGCTCACACCTGTAATCCCAGCACTTTGGGAGGCAGAGGCGAACGGATCATGAGGTCAAGAGATTGAGACCATGCTGACCAACATGGTGAAACCCCATCTCTACTAAATTAGCCAGGCATGGTGGTGCGTGCCTGTAGTACCAGCTACTAGGGAGGCTGAGGCAGGAGAATTGCTTGAAACTGGAAAACGGAAGTTGCAGTGAGCCAGGATCTTGCCACTGCCTTCCAGACTGGCGATAGAGCAAGACTCTGTCTCAGAAAAAAAAAAAAAAGAGAGAGAAAGAAAGAAAAAGAAAGCAAGGTAGAAGGGGGTAGAGGACAGGCAGGCAAGCTGAGAGGCAGGCAG